GTTATGATGGACCGGCCATACGTACACGCAGCCTGTTTCAGACGCCCGCGCCCTAATTTTTCGCCCTCTCCCCACCATCTGAACGCCTGGAACAGGCTAACGTACATGCCAACTTTTTACAAGTCTGAAATGTCATGCGTCTCCACCACCTTAGTAACCGTGGAGGGCGCGGGTTAGGGGGTGGAGACATGTGACATTTCAGACTAACGTTTTACTAGTTTCTGACTTTTTTCCGGGCCCGTACGAAAAGCGTAAAAAAAAATCCGCCTGAATAACATGCGCGACATAACAACTTTATAAACGAGAGAGGGGTGACTGTGTTGTTGAACCACTCCGCGAGTCATTGTGACATCAAATACCAACTTAGCCAGTCATTTCTTATGAGAAGCCCCCTCCCTCCTGACTTCTATTAAGTCATGGGATATCTCAACAAATACTGTCAATACTCCATTGGTACTCAAATCCAGAGTGGACAGATTCTACTTTTTTCCAACTATAACTTGACCAATTTCTAAAAATGGTAGAATGTAAACTTAATTCTTTAATAAGCCAGATGAAAAAGGCCTACATATTCTAAGTTCATACCCCTTTAGTTATGGTAATAATCTTAGATAGATCGTTTTCCCTCTATTTCCAGTTCACTGTCAACGGCGATGTCGATCGCTAGTCCCGGGTTCCAGTCCTCGCAGCCCCATGTTTTTTTAAGTCATGTGAATCCTCTATCCTTTTCTTGTTGGTATATAAGTACTTCGTTCTTTCTTTTATTTCGATTCTAGATGAAGCTTATTTATGTATTTCAGTCCAGTTTTTCACTGGTTGAAGTTGCTTGATTCCACATTCCCGCTTTAGTGTGATAGTAATGGCAAATCCACGGACATCGTTTTCGTTCTATTTTTAGTCCACCCTTGACGACGCCGTCGATTATGTTCCAGTTCTCTCCGCCCCATGTTTTCTTGTTGAAAAAATCCTTTGAGAATCCTCCAAAGTTGTCCCAGTTCTGTTTATACATTGCTACTATGCCATAGCTCATAAGATACCAGTCTCCTTTGGGCAATGCGCTACTCCCACCACAATTTTAAAACACCATTTGAGGAGCGCAAACCGTCTTTCCTTGAAAGCAGTGCTAAAACCAAACAGAGAAATACTTACATGTATTGGTGAAAAAAGAAAATAACTGCTGGCCTAACGCCTTTCATGCGCGCATTTGTCACTTTTGTGCTGCGTGCTATGAAGAGAACGAGCGCACGACAAGGCTGTAGCTAAGACAAGCTTGTAACCTGGTGCCACACATGTGCTGCTGCTCTCTTGTTCAAGTTTTGAGTTGGCTTCGCGCAGCTTCTGAATCCTACACTGAATTAAGAGCCTTTGTGCAGTATTAAACTAGCCGAACGGAACGTAGCACGAGCGATTATTCTAGATTATATATTATTCTATACAGACTAACTGCATTGCGCCTTTTTTCTACAATCTGTCGAGTTGTTATCCCAGCCAAGACGTTTACAAGACAACGTGGTTACACAAAAACGTTTACGTTCCCCTTTCTTGCCGCTCGGGTGCACAAGTTTCCCTCAGTAAGAAAACTATGTGACACCTCGCAGTCCAGCTCAAATATGTTCTGAACCATATATATCGTGTCAGATGTTTAGGCTACCCCTAAAAGGAAATTAGGAATTCGTCTTATGGGTGTAGTTCAAAAAAATTTCCCCTGCGATGTAATGGATTTAACAATAACTCCTCACTTAGTTCAAAATGTTCGATTGGGGAAGGGGTAGGTGGGAAGCTTCCCAGAATCATATACTGATCTGAGGCACTAAAAAAATACATGAAACACACACACTTACAATAGTTCTCATAAACTTCCGGCTAGACACCCTTTAAGGTCGCGATAAGGTAATATATCACGACGTCTAATTAGGGGGCGGGGGACGGTTATTTTTCTCGCCTCCCTTTCCCCACCGCTATTAACTCCGGGGCCCGCCGCATCAGTGGATTTAAAACTAAGATAGCCGCCCGTAATGGTGAGCCCGCGATCTCGAAGTTCTTACTAAAACATAGGAGACTGTGAACAGTCTACAATCGGCGACAAAATTGGTTGACATACTTCGCCCTAAAGGGGCTTTCTCACGTTTTACTGACTTCAAAAGGAGAAAATCAAGCTTTTCCTCCCCTATTTCCTCCATGCAATGTTGTGCCGCTGTTCGAGCTACCAATATAGAAAACAATAAACACCCCAACTTTGAATGAGGATTGTCCCCGATTGTAGGTACTGATGAACAAAAGGTTTTTGGTTAACAAATTTAGTACAACTTTTGGCTTTGTATGCATAAATAGATGCAGGATGCAGGAACCAACAACCGTGTTACCTTTAGCCAAAGAAAACAGCCGATATTTCGCGACGGCACCAGTGGTTTCTACACCAAGTGACGTCTAAGAAACGAGCGCAGAAATTCCATACTGATGACCTGTCACAACCCAGATCTGGGTACTGCTTCTGATTGGATGAAGCAAATTTTCAACCAATCAGAAGCTGTATACAGAAGTGGGTACTGTGCGTCATCAGTATGGAATTTCTGCGCTCATTTGTCAGGCGTCATTTCGCGAGGAGACCACCGGTGGCGTAGCGAAATGTGGGCTGTTTTCTCAGGCTGCAATTCGCCACTTGCACATCTCGCATAATGCACCGTATTTGCCGCCCAAAATTTTTCATAAGCTTTGTTTTTCATTTCTCCTGAGTATTACTGCCGTCCCAAGAGAAATGGAAAACAATATGCTTAATGCAAAACTTTTGGGGACAGATAAGGTGCATTATGGGAGATGTGCAAGTGGCCAATATCTTTCAAGGATGCACTGAAGTGAATTAACCAATGGGCTCACTGACCTTGCGTAAATCATTCACCATCTGACTTCCAATATCGAGATGTACATCTATGGTGACGAAAATGGCCTCCGGATTCAAAATTGATTGTATAGCTTCACTAAAAGACTCCACGCGAGAATATCTTCCAGGTTTTGCAATGTATTTTTAGTTCTTTAACGTACTTCTTTGGAGTGCCTGCTTTAAATCATTATCCGAGCTATCATAGTCGTAAATAATCACGTGTAAATGTTCATCTTTGGTTTCCCGAATGATTTTTTCAACGTTCTTGATAAAATAGTGGACCCATCAACCCAGGTTATTAGCCGTGCGATTCAGATAGACATCCACTGTCCTGTTCCACTGCAGTCCCATGGGGTAACACAAATACCCATTTTTGTCGTATGGCTGAAACACATATTCTTCGAGGTTAAAGTTCTTTTCGTCCATCAGATCTTTAACAACAAGTTGAAGAAAGTATCTGCCTCCTTTCTAAGGATCATGTTTCATCTCTACGCCCGTAATAGACTCGAGACTGTATTTTCTGCATCAAAAATACCATACAGAAGAAAATAAATAATTATTAATTGTTTTAATGACATCAGAGTGTTATCTATAAGACGGTTTGAGCGCTCGTGCGCGTCAGCTTTGCTCTCATCAAGCTAACACTTGCTGGCTAGCGCACGAATCCTCAGCTTTTGAATTAAAGAATAAAATAAAATTCATCTTAAAATCTCTGCCTTAAAACTGATTTAGTCAACTAATTTTCTCAGTATTATCTATTGTTTGACCTGGAAATTTACTCAGAGTTCACCACGGAGAATACAGCTACTTAAAAATTTGTTCGCAGTTTCTGTTAAAAAAGGCTCGTGTTTATACAAGAACAGAGAAAAGGATGATATAGTTGGCCTGTAAGGCATTGGAAACACTTATTTAAATTCTTTGTTTCTAGAATTGAGGGTCTCCAATAGGGTTCTTCAATCCTGTAAATACGACCCAAAATTTCGTGTAATCCCGTAATCCCGGGAGTTATTTTTGGCATCCCACACCTCCCAAGCATACTTTCAATCCCGAGACTCGTCCCCGATTTTGCTTTCAAATCCCAAATCCCAAATCCCGAGTCCCGAGCTTCAAATAAGGGAAATCCCGGGTCCCGAAAAACCTATTGAGGACCCTGAGAATTCACTACCTTAGAAACGAAAAGGAAATTGGTTAGGTTTCCAGCGGAACGGGCCCTTAGTCGATCACAGGCAAACCACTTTTTCTTAGGTATGTGGCTGGGGCTCCCATACCATTAGCACGGTGAACACTTGATCAATTTTCGTAGCACGAGTTGAAAGAGCATATTAAAATTAGGTAACCTGTAAATTTTCAGCTATATATCTCAAAAGTAGCGATCACAACGGCCGCCGAAAATTAGGATTCGTATGAGAAAAGCAACTCTGCGTTTGAGTGGTTTTCCATACAAATCCTTGTAAATTCTAACTTTTTAAACTGTCGTTAAATCTCTCCCATACCGATTTAAGAGCTCAAATTGCCTGTTATGAATTAAAAGAAGATTTGAACCCCGTAATGCTTAAGGAGATATTTCATGACAGTTTTGAAAATTTCGAAATTTACAAGGATTTGTATGGAAAACTATGCATACGCGACTGTGTGGCAAAAGTTGTTTTTCTCATACAAGTGCTTTTAACCTTTGGCGGCCGTTCAGGTTTCCTAATTTTAATATGTTTTATTCAGCTTGTGTTAACAAAATTTTTCAAAAGTGAACTGTTTTCGTTTTTAGCGAAAGTTGATCACGTGATCACTGTCATGCAAATGGCGTACTCTCTATGTTAGAAGAACAATCAACCTACCCTGGGCAACTTTCCTCAAGGGCTACCACACGAGCTTCTCCATCACTCAAAGGCTCTTCAGCCAAAAAGCGGGCGGCCCGCTCGGGAGTCAGCCCTTCTACTGTGTGTTTGGAAAGGTGAAGGCTTAGTGCGCATGTCTTTGTAAACGCTGTGATATCGGCCGAAGTTCTATTTTTTCGCGGGATCAAGAAGATAACTGGGTCCATATTCGCAGAAATTTAACGCCTTGCTCACGTACACACTTTCCAACGTTGGAAGTGTTTCTGGCTTCATGTACCTGTTACTGCTGTTTAGCGTTGCCAGTGTACAAGCAAGCACATCTGAGCTGTATCACTGTCGTTTTTATATGGTGAGAAAAACTCTCGTTGTATAAGCTCAAAGCCAGTTCTATCCGGTCTTTTCCAAGCAAGTTGGATTAAACTTTGTCCTTCACTTTGCCCCCCACGAGAATATATTATCTCAACGTAGTACTTATGTACTGAAAACAATTTAACTCGGTTAGTGGGAAGATTGTGATCCACTGTTCCAAAACCCATTGCAGTTGTATTTATAGGTTTGGTGTATTCAATTTTCCGTCCGTTTTTCCAGTTATGGCTTGAACTTAACCAAACCTCGGCAAAATACATTCGACGTAACGGGGAAAAGATACGCGCCAGTACATTCGGCTGAGGAAAGCCCAGCAACTGCAGACCATCAACCTCGCTGGCTGACAAGGAGATGTTAACATTCTTCACCAAGCTTTTTTTATCAGGTGCCTTGGGAAAGATTGGAAAGTTGCAAAGTTGTTCAAGACTTATCAGGCAGTTTTTTCCCACGTATATGTTGGTTCAAACCCTTGGACGGAATATATTCAGGCCTGATTTTATCCTCTGAAGTAGTAAAGTTGGTTTCTGTAAATTCAAATCCTTACTTCCAGTTTCGAAGAGATGATCGATTGAGTTGCCATGGAATTAAGAAAACAACATTAAAACTTACAACTGAAACACTGAAAACTAATAGCAACAGTCTCGAAGTTGTTATCTTCGCCTTTCTAGCAACGCGGCAATCTGTCTCATTTTGTTGTTGTGGCAATGGCAAGCAGTGCTAAAATAAATATGCGTATTTGTCTTGCGCATTGTTATAAACGATCAGGCTTTCAATGCAGCATTCCCAGATGGCGATTGTGTAATTGTGTTGCTTTCGTTTTGTTTTATGATTTTTCTTCTGAATGTCATTTGCATAAGTTGAAGTCATTAATAATTTAAAAATATAAAATGTGATTTTTTTTTAACAGTGATGTTTAAAGTTCAGTATGGAACTAGTAGCTTAATCTATTTTGGGCAACAATAAAACTGACTAAAAATCTAAGGGAATCTAAAAGGGAAGATTAGTTACAGCCAAAATGCGTGTCACACTAAATATGGCCGGCCTAGCCCTGTAGCTACTAATTCTTGCTTAAAAAGGCAACAATTATTATAAATACAGAAATGCCAAAGAAATGTTTAACATTTCTTGAACTTTATAAATACCCAGTCAGCTCTCTGTATTTTAACGGAACCAAACTCAGTTGTCAGTGTTGTTTCCACTTTCACACCAGTAGCGTAGCTCCACATTCAGCCTGCACATTGCTTACAAATACACCACGCCTGGAGAAAAAACAACAACAACAACTTAGGCCTACAAATTTTCGCGCTTTTTAATCAAAAAAACAAAATCCGCATCTAATACTCAAGAAACGCGGCTTCGGAGTTTTCGCAAAATTAATCACTCAAAAATTAGTAAAATTAAGGTAATTCTTACAACTTTCAGCGTGCCTTACAGTTAAAAAAATTGATATCTCGTGTCTATTAATTTTTTTTTTCATAAATAAACTCCTCGATTATAATGTTGGTACATGCGGGTAATAGTATAGTAAACCACTGCCGCCTCTTTTTCCTTAGCCTGAACGGAAAACAGCTGACATTTCCTGACCCAAAAATGTCGGCTGCTTTATTCTCTCAGGTTACATCTCTTTGAGGTCCCTTCCACACGTATCCGGATATTTTTGAAAACGGAGATCGTTTTCTCCGTTTTCAAAAAGATGCTCATCCACACGTAGCGTATTCAAATCGTTTTCGCCCGCCTACACGAAAACGCAAAAACGATGGAAATACGATAGCATACCTTATTGAGCATGCGTCTAGCACAACATCATGCCAGCCATATTGGTTTACCATACCAGTAAAACGGCAGCTGCCAAGTTGGTGTTCTAAACCAATCCTCTGGTAGTTGAATCTTTTTCTAAAAACGATCATTTGGTGCAATAAATTTGCATAGCAGCTGACCACGTGACTGAAAGCTTAACTGTATTGGTAATCATACGGAACACAAGTTCAATTTGGAATTCATTTGCACGAGTGTAAATCAAGATACCATTTAAAAAAAAGCGACTCAAAGCGACTCAACCTACTTTTCAAGATACCATTGTTAACGTTTCAAGAATAAGTTGTCAAAATGAGTCAGAAAAGATTAAATTCTTCCCAGTTAACAGTGGGTCCCGATTAAGGGCCTTTATTGTTGCAATGAATGATGATTATGTGTTTTATACAGGGCTAACATCTGCTGGGGCAAATGGCGATATACATATACGTCTCCAGAGACCATTTCAAACATACTGGAACTAGCCTCTAATCGAGGCTTACGTAAATCAGTACAGCTTATGGAAAAAGAAAACTGATACAACTGGTGATTCTTTGATTCTAACTCTAGTTCCATTGCTTTAGTTGGAGTGACTGGTCTTTCAACTCTTTCACTGCCAGAGTGTTTGATGGAGTTTTGTAAGGTGACTCTAACTTTTGAGTATCGGAAACCTATGATGTGACCATTGAAATGAAAGCTCTCTCCCTGTACTTACACATGGTGCTATTTGTTTGTCAAACTTTTAGAAAATAAAATTTGGAAATTCGGTCGAAATTTGCCTTTGGCCACATTTGGCAGTGAAACTGGAAACATCTTCATTTAACAGATAATTCATTACAAAGTTTGCATATTTCTTTTAAAAAAACTCATACTCAACCAGCGTAGAAGCTTTGACGTTCACCACCCTAAACTCTTAAAATAACAGTCACTCGCCATGATACATATAATTGTTTTAGCGACAAATTTAGAAACAAACATGAAATGTCAAAGAAAGGAAACACTACTAATAGATAACAAAACAAAAGACAATAATATAGAGTAAATAATAAACTGAAATAAATACAAGAAAACATGATTGTAGTGCCAACAGAGTTCCATGGACCTGAAATTGAATCCTACCAATAAGCATTGAAGAAATCGACTGATGATCCAAACAGCTACGGGTAGAGGCTTCTGGAAGTAAACAGGCCTAAGCTTGTATTCGACTGAACCTTAGTTACCATGACGCACGCGGAAAAGTTATTGAAGCAAAGACAAACACTGTTTAATGAGCTGTTGTATTGGAACGTATCAAAAATGCATTCATTCTTCAGTGGCGAATGCGGAAATTGGTGAAAGGACTATCCAGTTCTACAAGAAATCACAGGAGCCATTCAGCTCATGGTACGCTCTTTTTCTCAAGTTCAGAAAATCGTTTCAGTTTCAGGTCTCTTAACAGACTTAGCATACATATTAGAGTACCAAAAAATAAGATACATTAATTTCAAAACATACCTTAATGCAATGGGCTTTGAAGCGAGAAGACTTTTTCTCTATTTATTCACTGCTTGTAAATTTCTCATAATTAAGAATTGTCTTCCGTTATACCGCTTCGACAGATATCAAGGTGCCTCTACATAATTATGCTTAAGTAAGAACTGGCTTTTAAAAGTGGTCATGCGTGCGGTTATACATTATACATACACAAGAGCCATAATATGGCTGTTGACATACAGTAACACACAGATATAGAAAGCATACTTTAAGTAAACCAATATTTCGTGTAAGACTTTATACACTGTTAATACAGCCGTTTTAACTGTGATAGAAAACGTCGGCAGTCATTTCACTTGCTACATTTGTTCTTAATGTATTTTTCGATGTGAAATTTGTGATAACTAAGAAAGATGCAATTTTTTGCAATAGTAAATGGAATGTAAGTGTTAAATACAACTTCACGTGGAATGTGAGTATGCTTTTTGACTGTGTGATGTGATGCCCTTAAGCTCTCTAATGACATCTGGGTAGGATTTGGAACCGTGCAATGCCAATGATACCATAAAAAAGAGTTACGATAAGGAACAAAATACTAGAATACTCTTTTAAGTCATCGATTCCTGATTTCTGGCATTTTTACTGACACAATACACTGAACCACAATCATGGTGTAGTATTTAAGTCATCATCGTTCAATTTGCACTGTGTTATCCGGTTGGCTTGCCTAGTTAAATAGCAAATAATCATGATAACACTAAAAATAAACAACACAAAGAGCAGAATGGTTAAAAAGTTATTTTAAGGAAAACTGCTCTCTTGTGCTTGCTCATTAAATTCACTCCGCATTAATATTGAGTTGCCGGTTCCTATACCGCAATCTAATAACATATTCTTTTCGTTAATTTCCATTACGAAATCAAATTTATTTAGTGAAGAGGAACGAATAACATTGATCAACGCTATTTTGGTCCTATTTTCTCTATTGAAATTAATAAAGCAAAGAAAGGAACTACCTTGCAGTAGGCGTTTCTTAGGAAGACACTTCACCAAAAACAAAACGAGGGTATGTACGTCGGATATATGGGTAAATACCTAGCACCACAAATGCATGAAATAATAAACACACCAGTATCATAACTCTTTTTACGTAATAAAGTAGGAGGATGAAACATCAAATTGATATCAATTTTTGTTATTCAAAACATAATAATGATATTAATAATATGAACAATTCGTCGTCGCTAAGATTGTATTTGGAGAAACTAACCACAGTTGTTGACTAACCTGAAGTTTAATTTTTCCGCATTTAATTCTCCCTTAAGTTGTGAACGAATGAGCCACTTACATTACGGTCATAGCAGGTGTTTTATGTCACAGCGGAAAACTCAAGCAGACACACTGTACTTCTATTTGATAGACAGGTTATAAAAGCGCAGCCAGAGATTATACTGACCAACTTACAAAAAGTTCTTTTTAACCTTTTGTTTTGTGGAACATAAGGAACATTTTTTATATTGGCGTTTAACTACGGACACGTCTATCAGACTGTAGTTCTGAACGTACTGTTGCGATTGAATAGGTTAAAATTTCCAGTCAGGTTTGCCTCAAATGATGGCTGAAATTGTCGGTGCCAAAAGAAATTTAGTCTTTAATTATTGGAAAACACGTAACCAAAATTTCTAAAGTTTAGGCGAACTGAAGACTCCACCCGACTCCTTTTTATTGCACAAACTTTGAGCGGAGGCTCGGCACAATGCCCGAGAAGCCAATGCATCACCCGAGTACGTTGTTATTTTTATCTTCCGCACTATTTGCTCTGCGTCCGTGGAAAAAGGAGGCTGATTGACAACTTAATCAAGTATAGCCGCACTTCACTGAGCCAAAGTCACCAGTGTGACGCATAAAGAGCAGAGCCCATAGTCAACATCGGTACAATTCGGACCATTGTTTACAATGATGCAGCGTGGCCGTGGTTAGAGCGCTGGACTTGCCA